TTCCAATTGGCTAGGATGGTTTTCTTTGATACGATTTTGGAAGGTTTGCAGTCGATCGTGCTGATGTTTTGACGCCCCGCTTGGCCTTCAGGCCCCACAGAGTTGAGTCAATTGAGAGGCTTAGCTCAGTGCCGACGATCCAGTCGAAATAATTCACGATGTCACGGTAGAATTTTGCCACATCGGGGCACATTACAGAAGGCGTGTGGGTAGGTCTTAACCGTGCCCATCGAGCAAACTGCTTTAAACACGTGAAAACGCTTGACATTGCCGGGATGGTTAAGAGGGTCCTGCGGATACGTGACGGGCAGATGTGCGATGTTGTATTGTAATTGGTTATTTTGGAGTTGTGAAAAAGACTTGTACTCATGATAATAGCTTAGCACCCACCAATCCAGCAAGATATTGGGCACCAATGTTGTTGTTATTTACTCGCATGGCAAATACTCACAAGTACTCACAGGGAAGTCCATCAGCCTACTTTCAGTGCCGCCGTCTCCTGGTCACGTTGCTCGCAAGCCCAGCACTGCGCTCTCACCCCATCACGACCGGCAAACCCTAACCTTCACATCGGCGGGTCACAGGGGTCACAGGGGTCACAGGTACGTATGAGCTGTATGTTGAACCGTACGTAGGCAACTGTGCTAATCGGAGGTGTGGCGGAAGGACAACAAACTAAGCGTAAAAATAATCTGTAAAGAAATTAGTTTTCAAACGACGTTTTGAAGTGCATAGCTCCAGTGGCTTCCTAATATTGGAAGGAAGACTGTTTCAGACGGCCGCAGAAGCACATCTGAAAGTGCGCGATGCAGCGTGTGAGGCCATGGGTTTCTGTGTGAGTCTAAGGGTCTCCATGTATGTTCAACTTACTTCGTTCGCACCATACGTAGCCAACCCTGCTTATTGGACGTGCGGGGGAAGGACAGCAAAACTAAACACAAAAAGCAGTTCTAAAAAACAAAATGAGTTTTCAATCTCGCTTTTAAAAGGGCACGTTTTCAGTGGCTTCATAAATAGGTTTGAGGCAATGGGCCCCACCACACAAGGGCAACCATTTCCATTTCCAAAATTGTGAAGATTATCGCGGGATTTGATGACAAGGTGTTTACGACGGGGTGGGGGGGGGGGGGGGTTGACAGGCAATACCGCCGTACCAGAATTAAGATATTCCTGTAGGGATTGTTTTCAAAGACTCTAAACTCCTCTGGCTGTAGTGGCAGCCTCGAGGTGGCCGAATGGAATAAAAAAAACACGGCAGCCTTTTTCTGCGTTGCGTCCCCCTAGACACGCCGAGGGTTTACATCTTCCTTTTTGAGTCACAGCTGAGAACTTGTTGCGCAAGGTCAGGAAATTAACGACAGCTTCGTTAGCAGAGATGTCGGCTTCAAAATTAATGTCTCGCAGCAACCTTCCCCTCCACCCCATTTTTTTGGTAATTGCCTTGTTAATTTTAACCTGCCGCGTTTAGTTTTAAACTCCGAAGCAGCAAAAAAGGCCACGGGAAAGGGTCTGGAGTCATTTTTTTTTCTTCCCCTCCCAGAATTCAAACTTTACTGCACTTGATGCTGCTATCTGCAGACGCCATTGTTCATTTCCTTGGAGGTTCCTCGTGCAATCCAGCCGTGCAAAGTTTCCGGTGTCCGACTGCATTAGGCTGTGAAGTGGCGTGAGAATAAACACGTGGACGTTGAGGTAAGGGTGCAGGCCTTCAATTACCTGTCCGCGCCACTGCCGGCGGAAGGGTCTGCACTAGAGGGAGCTCTAGGCGGGACCTCTAAAAGGGTATTCATGGCCTACTCTTCCACGTAGGCCAGACATCATGGCAGAGTACCCACACTTCACCCCACCGTACGCCACCTCCAGTGTACCCATTTATACATCGGGGTGGGCACATAGGGGTATGTGGGAGGGGGGGGGGGGGGGTTGATAAAACTTGCACCGTTATTTCAACTGCTGCACCAGGAGATGGAGTTGAACCGGTGGCCTCTGGTTTGCAAGTCCGGTGCAATAACCATTACACCATGGAAGCATCGTATATATCGATGCGAGTAAGTAGCAGGGTGGTTCACACACAATGGAACCTACAATTCCATCAAAATGGGTTGATATACATACAAGTAGAGTTCATGGATGTGTGGCTGCGCGGATGGGGTGCCACGGTGATGAGATATTAACTATCTCGCCTTGGCTTCGATCCCGACCCTGGCACCTTATATTTTGAGTTTGCATGTTCTCGTCGTGGTCAGATGGATTTTTCTCCGGGTTCTCTGGTTTTCCCCTCCACATTTTAGAAACATGCGTTTAGAGTATTTGGCTGCTATAAATGTCCGCATTGAGCTATAATTTGTGTCCAGGCCCCTTCTGAAAAAGAGCTACACAGCTCAGTGGGCCTTACCTGCTAACATAAAAAAATATATTAAAATAATAATAGATGTGCGTGCTCTGTTTTGTGCTGTGTAAGTTCAACACACGCGGTTCTCGTTGAGTCATAAGAGCAGTCCACCGGAACTTCCCGACGCCTACGATCGAGGGCATTGCCAGTTTCAATCAAAACCTCGCTGGGCTCAATTTGGATGTTGAATCTCAGAGGATTGCCAGCGTGGCGTCTCTGATGCAAGGTTGAGCCGGCTCAGCCAACCGGCAGCCAGAGCTTGTTATTTTAAATCATCTCCTCCGACTTGCAACAGGATGTTCCCACTGTTACTACGGGGACGCACTTCATACTGCGTTAGTGTTAGGCATGGGACTTGATTAGTTATTAATGAGCATAGATTACACGAAATATCTCGCATTGGAGGTTCTTCTGCCCTTGTTCTTGATAAACAGGCCGTCCATGAAGGGAGCATAATTGTTTTAAATGGAATTCTAATCAGATCGCTGTTTTCACTGTGCATCTGAAATGCTAGCAACGCATTCCATTTCTACTTGCGCTGCGAGGACGACCGGAGTGCACGTGATGGTTTATGCTGCCTAACGAGATCAACAAGGTATTGTAGTTCATCCGTGGCAAGCACTTTGTGTGTAATCAGTGCAACCTCATAATGCATTAATTCGGCAACCGGAAGCCAATGCGGCTCGGCGAACACTGGACGGACACGGTCGGATCTTGCAGTACCCGTCAGGACACGTGCCACGGAATCGTGTACACGCCTGCAGCTTGGTAATGTTCAGGGGCCCGCCACCATAACGAAATCACATTGTGATTGGACATCAAGCGAGGTGGTGTGTGAACAGTGAGGTTTAGATGGATGAGACCTGCACCATCAAATTCGCACCCTGCCAGGTGTGTGCGCGTGCGTGGTTTTACTGTCCGAGCCCAAACTGCCGTCTCAATTATAATTCCTTAATACATTGACGATGTCTAGGTGGATGCACTGCGTGCGTCGGTGCGTGTATTGATCACAAAACATAAATTGAATCAACCAGGCAGCCCCGTTGAGAATTGTACCAACCGACGAAGCTTGAGCTTCGAGCAAGTTGCGTGCGTCCACAGAAATGCTCAGATGAATCTGTGGATTTGTGAAAATTCGAGACAATGAACAACAACACAACAACAACAAATATATAGGATAGGCGACATTTCGAGTGATGGCCATTCTTCACGGCAGAGAAGAGAAGGGTTTCGGCCATAAACGATGCCTGTTACATAAGTATTGTTATTGAGGGCGGCTTCATTCATCAATTGTATTTTATTTGTGCTCGCGCACCCGTTGCCCAAACGCAGTAGCACACCAAATTTTTTGGGGGGGAGATTCGTGAATGCGCATCACAAAATCTTGCCGCTTCGGATCGATGGGCAGTAACCCCAATGGAGGCAACCAACCCCTGGCTTGAAAAACAAAGGAACTTTGGCTCTTTCCCCTCCCTGCCGCTCCTCTTACTCCGCGTTACGGGGAGGAAATCGTGGATGCGAGCGTTAACTCTTCACCCCCCCTCCTCCCCCCGGGTACTTAATTTTTTGCTGATTAGTGCCAATCAATCAGCCACAGCTATCAAGAGGGCATTTTCACTCTCACAGTCTTCGATACCAGGCAGGGCCATCAATTGAGCGCATCGCATTAACGGAGCCGCCCCGTCCGCTGATCTGTCAGAGCGTGAAAACCCCACGCAGTTAACGAGGTTCCTTCCCTCGCTTCCTTCCTTTCATTCTCATCTCATGCCTGCCGTACGCGTTCTCACGGCTGGCTGCGGCCGAAGTGGGTAAGAGGGCACGGTTTTCTTTTTGTTGTTGTTGTTGGGAATATCACACGCGTCGCCATTCCGCACTGCTCTTCCAAAAATCCTCGCCGCTGCAGGAAGACGGCGTTGATTCTTTGAGCTGAGGTTGCCGGCTTGTTCCACCTCAACATGGGTATCATCCTTCAGAGCAGCGGGTCTCCCCTGGCCACGCGCGTGTATAATGGACTCTTCCACCTGAGGCCCTTAATTAGACTGCAACGATTGTGTCAAGGTGCAGGGCTGCGCACGCTTGTTCATGGCACTGCTGGTTAGAAGGGCCTCCACCAGAGGCAGCTCTATAGGGGCTCCCCCCCCATCTGGAAGGTATTTAGGCCTGCTCTTTCGAGTTGACCAGACGTTCTTTGAAGAGGTGACTGTGCGTGTACCCGATTGTACTGCTGCGTGGGCAATTGGCGGAGGGTATGACGTCACGCGATTTTGGGCGATTTTTGACCCCTCCCCCCTTCGTCACACGGCGTCACAAAAAGTCAGACCCCCCTCAAATATGACGTCACAAAGCTCTGCCCCCCACCCCTCCCAAAAAAAATAAAACATGATTCAAATCGCTTTAAACTATTGTCATTGCAGTGCGTATTTAATGTGGCGCTGCACTCTGATGCTGTAGGAGAAAACATGTATTGATAAGTCTATTTATTTAAGTAAAACGTGTTGTCTATATTTATTTAAAGTTGCGCATTTTGATGTGACGTCACATTTCTCAAACCGCCCCCCCCCCTCGTCACACATCGTCACAAATGTCTGACCCCCGCCCCCCCCAGGTGCGTGACGTCATTTATGGACGGCCCATATTTAAGAAACTTGGAGCATTGTTTCAGCTGCCGAGCCAGGAGAGTGTCCTCTCATTTCCTTCATCAACCTGTTTATAGGGTTATCGGAATATAGGGTACAGTAATATCGGATTCTTACAGAGAGGTTAACCTTGTGATCAAGTGGTAGTGCCTCATGCTGATAACCCCTATTCCCGAGCCTAGCAACTTTCCGGAAAATATAAAGTTTTAAATGAAAGCCTGTACTCTATAAACTTATTCTGTGAAGGATATACACACATTCAAAATGTCTACGATTAGAATCTAAATCCCCGAATACCTTATCTATGAATGTATAGTTATATACGCGTTTAGAAATATGAATGCATATTTTAATGACGATGTTTGTCACGTATTTACACCATTAAATATTGCTTTGAAATGCGATACTATTTAGCAGGTTGTGCATCGTGACCACTCTCGTAAAATTACACATTCCTCGTACGAAAATTACGATTGATGATGAAAACTAAAACCATGCAACATACGCGTGTGGCAAGCCACGCGCTCGTACTAATGTACAAAGGACAGGGTGGTTTAGTTGACATAATGGGAGGGGGAGATTGCTGTTTGCATGAGTGTGTGCCTTTTGGGCCCGGCTGCTGAAAGCATTCAGCCCCATTTGTACATTTAACAACAAAGTACTAAGCTAGCACTGATGCACCGAGGGATCTGGCAAATGTCCCTAACGAGCCCCCAAAGACTTTTAGCCCAGGTGCCGTGTGCCTAATGCAGCCCCTCTTTACAGCGTGGCTGTATGTGTGCGCGTGATTGTTTCGGCTCTTTCCTCCCGCTTGTTTTCCATATTGGGGATCTATTTAATTGTAGGCTTGGCAGCAGCGGACGCGGGAACCTTCAGACGGATCTTCAGGACCGCGCCGTTCGCTTTTGCAGGATTTTACCGTCGACGCGCAGAGGTTTTCTCCGATGCGTTTTTTTTTTGGGGGGGGGAGCGGCGGGTTTGTGCCTTGCGTTGTTCGGCACAACGTCCGACGTTTCGCCCCACGTGCCGGCCCCGGCAGCTTCCTCGGAAACTCTCGTCCTGTGTTCACGCAACAGCGCACGCGGCTCCTGCAACTGTCTCGCATGCTTTCTTCCGTTCGTCATGCAATCGTTGCAGATTAATCGCTGGTGCCTGCCATTGACATACATGGGCCGTGGATTTTTCACGAAGCCTGCGGACGTGTGTGATGGTCGGAATTGCGACGACGTGCCGTAGTTCGTTTGCTTGCTTAAATTACATTTCATGAGCTCACACGCGTGCATTGGGCATCCCTACAATCGCACGACCCTGTCAAGTCTGCCACGTTAGTTTACATTTAATTGTACATTTTTCGCTTTTTATCCCCGTAAATGTACGCTACTCTTTGTGCTTTTCCAGATGTATTTACTCGGAATAATGCAGATATTGTGTTCCCCGGGCTGGCAGCGAGGGATGGGGGGAGGGATGTGGGGACACACACACACGTGTTGTGCCTGGTCACACAGCAGAATGCGTCGACGAAGCGAACGCCCGCACGCGCGCGTTAAATAAAAAAGAGAGAGACGGCGCAGTTTAGCGCCACCGTCGTAAATGGCAATGAGCAGCAGCTATTGGGGACGCTGATTTATGGCGAGCCGATGATGAGGATGTCTCATGATGATGAACGATGATGGCTAGATAACCTTGCCTTGCGTCTGCGCGCGGATTTGAACGGAGAAGCGAGAGCAACGTTTTTGCGAGTGGCGCGTTCATTCGCAGCGCCAGTGTTTCGTCTCCCCCGTTGCGCGCTCGTGAAATTACATGCATGAAACTCGCATTGGCGAAGATTCCCCGGGCATTTATAAACAGAGGAGCACGCACGGTTGTTATCATCGCTCCTTGTGCAATCTGCCTTCCGTTATTGCAGTCTCCCCCCCCGATTTCAGATAAATCGCTGCTGCTGCTGCTGCTTGCCATTGGCAGTCACGGGCCGTGGAAGAGTTTTAGCAAAGTCTGCAACAAAAAAATGCGAAAAAATGATTGAAGCAAAAGATATCAGCTGGCGATGGTGAGGACAATTCAATCCGCGTTGCTTGTTCGAGATTTTCGCCGTCAATTCTGACACCTTAATGTGCAGCCGTTATGCAACTTTGCGCAAAGCATTTTACGTAACGAAACATTTATTTTCAGGGATACTTATGAATATTATGAATACTGAGCAGGGGTGTAACAATTCAGTGCCCCCCCCCCCCCGCTTCCTTGCCGTCATTCTAGCAGTAATAGTTTTCATGTCTCTATGTATTGTTTGCAGTTTCATCCGCTCCGTTAGCCTAAATGTAGCAGTGCATCGTGATCATCGGCAGCCGCGATCAATCCACCGCTGGACGAAGTCTCTTCCCGTTGTGTCATCGTCACCCACGTGTTGTAATTCCCCCGCGCCTACGACTGGCATGGCTGGGTACGTATGGTGCGAAAGAAGTTCAGCTTACGTGCATAACTCGCGGGAGTGGGTAGTAGTGCGATGGTGCAGTGCACGCCGCAGCTGCGCGCGAGACGATCTCATCGTTCCATCATCCGTGCCGGTCGTCACCTCGGAAAGTGATGCCTTTCCTTTGGCTGCCGGTCTGTCACCATTCTCTCGCACCATCGTGTTTGCGTGATTATAGAATTGTTCGCATTCAAACCTTAACATTTTGGGAAGTCCCAGTGTAGTGCGCGCAGGCATTTGTCCCACAGCCCACGTGGTGTGTTTGCTTTTTTCCCGTTGCGGTGCGAAAAGGTTTGCCGTGCTGCGAATGTGGCGCGGTGCAAGCTGCTCATCACATCGCTTACCACCGGCAAGTTATACGCTTGCAGTGGACGTACGAGCGGCTAAGCATCGAGCCCATGCCGTCGACTTCATTACTGGACCCAACGCACTGGTTTTTTTTTCTTTCTATTTGGTGAACTTCTTTTGGAACCGTGCGTAGCCAGCCGTGCTAATTTAATAAATACAGTTGCTTTTCAAATTTTCTAACACCAATCGAAAGAAAGATTACAGTGCTGTGTGAAATAAAATAAAAATCATTTATTCTGTTGATGCCGGGGTTCTCAAATACAATCAACTTGCCGTTAGTTTTTCACACCTGATGATGACTGTTTGCGTTACAGTCGAAACGTCGTGAGAATTTTTATTGTTTTTTATATATATTTTTTTATTTTATTGTTTCCCTTCAACGTGACTTTACCGAAAGAACCAAGAATATACAATCAACTTAATTAACAGCCTTTCTTTGTTGTTCAGGAGTTCATGTGAAATGCACGTGAGATGGCTCTTTTGATTTGAGCAAAGACTCACTTCAAACGGTGCCACAATCACGCCAACAGATGAGCTGGATACCACCAAAAATAACTCGAAAATGTTGCCTGACTTTTATTCTCAAGCTTGCAGGCCCCGACAGATTCACAATTTGTGCTTTCATCATGTGCTGGGGAGGGAGGTTGGACATGTCTTATGTTTTTCAAAGTTCTTTGAGGAGTTCAGCACCACTGGCTGAAACTCAAAATGTGGCCATCAAGCGGGGCCAGAGGTCGTGCAAACCCCACCACTCGTGGGTGCCTGTGGAACCCCAGAGCGCCTTACACATCCCACTCTGCCGAGGTACGGACGCTATATGGGGAAATATGAGAAGCGTGACCGTCTCTCGACAACTCGAGCTGTCACAGCATCGCGCACAAAGAGGTCACCGGACTAATAATCAAGACGCAAGCTGCTTTAAACGTGTATGGGGGGGGGGGGGGGTGGAGGATTGCTTCGTCGTGTGCGAGATTAAGAACACGTTACTGCTCGTGAAGAAATGGGATATGTAAACGTCCCTAGCAAAAAAAATGCAGTTGAACCACGCGCAATACTTACACTGGACGTTTGCGCGGTTAAATGTCCAGGCCGGCTTTGTGGGGGTCCGATATGCGATGTTCCAATCACATCTGTTGCTTCATTAAAAGCAGAATCAAAACCGTACCTGTTTTAATACACGAGCATAACTATTGTTCCACTGCCTGTGAAGTTACCCGTTTGTTCACTTAATTGACCATGCCTTCGTTAGACTGTTTTTCGGTAGGCTGACCACTGTCATTGAATTGTGGAATATACACACATTGACCCATGGTCATGTACAGAGACGTGATCTGCCTTCCCACGAGTTTTTTTGGTTGTTAAGTGACTTTGCTTTGCTTTCAAATGTCTATTTATTTATTTATGATAATTTAAGTATAATACATATTAGGCTACAATTAATATGACAATGAATGTGTTTCAGTACTTAATGCACTTAAATTCCATCTCTGAGACGTAAAAAAGCATCGCTTAGACTGCCATGCGACGAACATTGATCTCATAAAGCTTTCGTGACTGCAAGGATTCATCTTCTTTGGTTCTTTCGTTAAAGTCACCACGTAGAATGAGAATAAAATAATAAAATAACACAATAAAATTCTCACGACGTTTCGGCCGCTTGCGTTGTGGCCGAAACGTCGTGAGAATTTTATCGTGTTATTTTATTATTTTATTCTCATTCTACGTGACTTTACCGAGAGAACCAAAGAAGATTGCTCTCATATGCAGAGCGGGTGCAAAAGTGCTGCCCCAAATGAAGGGACCTCATGGGTGGTTCTCAAAAGCCGTCATCACACCGATGTAGATGGTAATGCGGTATCTATGTTCACTCGATGTTTGAAGTTTGTTTGGAGTTTCTTTTGCCCTTTCAACCGAAGAGCTAAAAGTAGCACAAGCTTGAGCCCTCATGCACACAGCTGTGAGTTGGCAACAAAGGCGCTTGCTGAAAATCATGAGATATAATTCCACCGCGATCCTTCATGTCGACTGCACAGCAGAAGGATGGGCTTTGGTAAATCAGCACACATGACCTGGACGCTTTGTCACTCAAACTATTAGCCCAGTAGCAATAATATTAACCAATAGGCCGTTCAGCTGCCTGTCTGTTCAGTTGCATCATTTAAAGCTGGCTTTACCACAGCGGGCAATGCCTCGGTAAGATGATGAAGATGCATGCTCAGCAGGGGGAGGGGGGGGGCGTCTCACTTTCATCCCAGAGATATGAGCTGATGTTCCATTGCGGTTATGAGGGGTATTGTGCTATAAGCGGTGCTGCATTTCATATGAGATGAAACTGAGCTGCTGTCTTGCCTGTGGCCGTTAACGGGATGCAGCCTGTTTTCATCTCTGATAAGAGCAGTGTGCATTAACCCAAGTGCCCGTGGCTAAAATCCTGAGCTGACCCTGGAATGAAGGTTTCTGTGATGGCTAAATTTTATTTTCATAGCTTTATAAAATATATATAATAAATGCCCTCTATTTACCCAGGACAGCCTTATTGAGTCTCAATAAAACAAATAAGTCAGGAAGGTCCTGCATTGAGGTGTTCGGCCAATATTTTTTTCTGATTGATTGACACGTGGAAGGAAATCAGAGTAGCTAGAGAAACAGCCTCATAAACGAGTTGGTAACAAAGAAAGCTCCACACAGACTCAAGAATCCACTGCCCTGGTCCATTTACTGGCTACGTCACAGCCCAAGTCCACGACACGTGGCGTTCTCAAATCCGTCTTCCCATCTAGTTACTTACCAGGCTCAGCCTTTTCTAGACTTCCAATGACATTGGACATGTTCACATTGGGAGTGGGAAATTATATGGTCAAGGGCAATTGATATGGAAAACAAACTCATTGCCTATGGAGGAGAATGTGCAAATGCGAGGCATGAATCTCCGTGGAAATATGCAGAATTAATGCTTTAAATATGGTAATGAGTGAATAATTGTCATTACATTTATGAGCGGCCAATGCCTTTTGAATGGGCTTGCCTGTGCATAGCAGGAGCGATTCTTAAAGCCTTGACATGTCGTACCGTTAGGCCACATGGCTGAGTCAAGGCAGCGAGGAAAGCTCTTTTCGATCGAGCCGTGACTGTCAGTCAAAGTACACCACGTGGAGCCAAAGGCCGTGCATTGATAATTCTCAACCGGAGAATCCAGTGGTGCTTAAAAAGCAATTTAGAAAACTTGGATGCCCGTACCATTGATTAAATAAGCTCTGCGAGTGAGAATATGTTTTCACAGAGGCGACGGCGCTCCGCGCATACATATTTTCAGGGCTTTGCCAGTACATTATGAAGGGATAAAGCGCATCCGTACAGCATGACCAAAAGCAGGGAGCGGCAAAAATTAAACATCAGCTCGGTACAGTTTCCACTTTGAAAAAAAGTCAATAAATAAACACGAGGCTTCTTTCCGAGGTGCGGATTACCGGGGCGAGCGGAGATAGTGGTCATTCGCTAGGAACTCGGGGCTTCCCGATGAAAGCTTTTTGCGCGACACTGCGGCAAGTAAATTATGAATCGCTCCTCCCTCCGTTAATGCTGCGGGCGGCGTGCATCCGCTAACTGGGAAAATACGCGGCTGCGTCTGCGCGTCAAGCTGAAATGCCACAGCAGCACGACAAAACATCGCTGGGCGTCGTTGCGGAGAATGAGGAACAAAATAAGGGCACAGTCACAATGAGAATGTTTATTCATACCGCAGGGAGGAATCGGATGACCTACAAAGCTCTTCTTCACAGATGTACGGTCGGGGCGGATCAGAGCGTTGCAATTTTCATCCTTCACAATACTCCTCCTTCACATATCTGTCCCGCCGCGTGAATATTAAAGGTGTTTTACACATCCCACATCAGCCACACAGCTCATATCTAACAGAGGGGGGTCCTTTCCTATAAACATTTGGCAGCTGCTAGTATTGGTTCAAGCAAGCCTGACTCTGCTGATGAGTGATGAGACACTGAATTTTGAAACGGTCCCAGAGTTTGCTTGTATTACACCAGTGATGTGGAAATTATGCACTCGCAGAAGGCCATGCCACTGATGTATAAAATAAATCAGGGATGTGTAAAAAGTGTATTGTTATGTTTTGTTATGCGTGGAGGGACAGATGTGTGAAGGAGGCGAGTTATCATCTGTTTATTTATTTTGTTGCTTAAATACCACAGTAAGATCATCTGCGATACTCATTTGTCCCGGAGAGTCACACCGAGTCATCGGTCTTTTTCAGGAGGGTCCTGCACTGGCTGTTGATTTTAAGACGGTTACAGACAATCGATGATGAGTGTTTGTACACGTGGGTGGTAACCGGAGCACCCAAGGAAAATCCACTCATGTTGGCGGGGGAGAGGGGGTTGGGAAACACTCCATCCCCATACCGATGGAAACAACAGGGCAATTAGTCCACTTGCTGCACAGCATTCTCCATGCAAAACCAAGGTGTGGCACCTCCTCGATGCCCGCGGGAAGGGACTTTCACGAAGTTTGTGCGGTGATACACCAACCGTCGCCGCCGCCTCCACGGTGCCGGATTACAGGCAGTCATTTGCACAGCCATCACAGACCGGTTTAAGCTAATAAAGATGAGCTTTGAGTTCAAGTTAATAAAGATGAGCTTTGAGTGCCCCCATTTCTCTTTCAAACGCTTCTCAATCGAAAATTGTGCCCGTTTCTCGAAATATGCGCCTGATATAAATTGTTTATTATTATATATATAAAATTGGTCATATCAATCTTTTCCGGAGATACCTGTAAATCCATCACTTTTTGGGCAGAATGATAGAGCTGTCATCCGGGCCCTTCGGCTTTGATGTGCGTAGTCAGTAATTGAAACCCATGCTTGGTGAGACTGGTGGAAGTGCGTGAACGACGTTTTTCCCAGATACGCAGACGTACGCGCACATGTATCAATTTACCATTGTTGTGGTCTTTTGTTTTAATCATCTGAGTAATCTTCGTGTGCTTTGCGAGACTCCTTTCTGCCACATGCACGCACAGACAAAGATACATCTTAACACCTGTTTTATTGCCAGAAAGGGTAAAATCTATTCTTTTTCATACAAAGCCTGAACATAAATTTGTGGAAAGTGCTGTTAGTGAGCATCTATGAAGGCCGGCACAGCCAAGAAGGGGGTGAGTGGCCAGCACCACGCCCGGCCGCCTTTGTCTCCCTAATGGCAATGACTACACATCGCACCAGGTACTCATTTGAGGCCGAGTTGACCTAGGGAAAGCCCAGGACCGGTTCAGATAATCGTCACTGTCGTTTTGCCATGGACGGGAATTGGACTCGGGCGACTGACTTTGCGGCGCAGCGCCCTAACCACGACGCCGCAGCACAACAACAACAGCCGCCATTCTTCACCAAGTAGCGATGACTTCACCACGGCGTTTGTGCAAGGCTATGTGCACTTTAAGGCCACGTGAAGTGTCGACGGTTCTCTCGCAGGAGGTCACGAAACAGACCCAGTTGATATGGGCTGACTGACTGAGATGACTGGCAGATGTACCACCTGTGCCCCCTACTGTACCAACTTGCTGTGTTTTAGCTGCTTGTCACCACACCGATTGTTGTGAGTATCGCTCCTTTGCCCTCTGTTGTTGGAGGGCGACTGCCTCCAACTGTCCAGTAGCGTCCTTCATGAACCTCCTCCACAGAGGCCGATGTTGACACAGCTGGTACCAGTCATTGGCAAGTCCACTCAGCTCCATATCCTCCTGTACCACCATCAGTCCATCTCTTCTCTAGCCCGAGCTGTAGCTATTTAGCCCTCTCTATGCAGCGAAACAGAAGCTGTTTGGGCATGCGGTGGCTGGGCATGGCCGCTACATGCACCAGCCAATTCAGAATTGCTTGCCGGAGGAGCTTTCTGATGGGACTGTGTCCAGAACGTTCAAGGATTTGTGAGCAATCCATAATGTTTAAACTTGGGATGTATTGTAGGCAGACCAGCCTCAATGTTTCTAACCAGTGCAGATGTTCAATTAGGGGGGGGGGGGTCACGTTTTGTAAGCATAGATAATTGAGGGCATGACTGTGGCCGAGAAGATCCGAAGCTTCGTGTGGAGCGACAGACCAGGTAGCTTCCACAAAGTGTTATGCAGCCGATGAAAAGATAATGCCGCTCGACTGATTTCGAGTGAGACCGCTGCTGTAGAAAACTGGAGCTGGTCATAAGTACGCTGCCCAGGATGGTAACCTCTCCACTATGTCCACAACTGACCCATCACCAATGGAGAGTTCAGAGGGGGCAGTGTTTGATGACAAAAAATACCCAGGCATGTGCTTAGTTTTGGTGGCGCTAATGGTAAGGCCCCACTTCTTAGTAGCACACTCCAGGTTTAGCAGCAGCGCCTCCAACCTCTTCTCTGAGCGACCAGCAATCACCAGATCATCAACATGACGTAATATTCTTGACCAATTGGGAGCCATTCCTCGACTGCACTCGGGCATCGATCAGCCTCCCAGTTGTATCTGGACCTTCTGAACACTACAGAGATCTAGGCGGTACTAGTCCAGTTCCCGACAAGAGGAGTGGCAGCCTCTCTTCCGCGGTGAG